CCGCCTGAAAGGAACAATGTCAAAAAGCTTCACCAACAACTCGTTGCCGTTCAGATTTTAGCTTGGATTCTCCATGGTGACATTGTTCTCTACCTCTGCCTCTGCTTTTGGGTTCAAGATTTTAGTTTTAGGGCTTAAATTGTTCTAGTAGCTTGTTTATGGTGGTAATGGGAAGAAAGCTTCGAAGTTTGGCAAGATGATTCATGATTGTTGATGCGCTCTCGACGTCGTCTTTCAACTTCATTGTGGCTCTTCGAAGCTGCTAAAGCTTAAGCGTCCACAATCTCTTGAGATGGTATCTTACCTGTTTCAGTTTCAGCTTGAAGCCCAAACGACATAGACCCTGATTGAACCATTTGGCCCAATGTCTCGGCTATGAGCCTCAGGTGGTGTTTTGATGAAGATGTACTAACCTCGTATGCAAATTGCAAGCCACCAGGTATCCTCCTATGAATCATACCACCATAAGATGCACTACCCTTGTATGCAAATTGAAAGCAATGGTATCAAAGGGAAGATCTGGAGTGTAGCCGGAGTTGTGATATTGATTTTTAGAATCCAGGGCTGCTGTCGTGGGTGCAAGATCGAAGAGACTTCTGATGATGCCATATATGAATAATCATTGATACCCATATTTTGATCTTCAATTTGTTGAATGATTGATGGGTGTTCTTGAAATCCTTGAATATTTTGCAAATCTTGTTGGTGGTGGAGATTATTTCTCCAGAAAGGTTTAGTGGTGGAGGAGGGGGAAGTTACAGGGATACTGTGGAGTTGGGGTTGGGGGTTGGTTGGAGGCGACGATTGTAGCTTCGCCGGAGAAATCTTTGACATAGGGTTGGAGGATAATATAAATAACGTGGTGGTGAGGCATTAGTTTCTAGGTTTTTTAATTTGGGATAACGAGAAGAAAAAGGCCACGTACTGATTTCTTTTATATAAAAAATTGAAAAAATCCAGCTAGGCAAAGGTAAACGGTGAAACCAGGATAAATTTTGAATAATGGTGTAATTAGAAGGTAAAAATGAAGTTTAGTGGTCTAATGTACCAAAAAAAAACTTTAGTGACCAAATTAGACAATTACCAAAACTTTGATGTGTTTATAGTGTCATTATCCCTTCTTTTTATAGTGTATAATTATTATAATTTTTCCAATATTTTACTCAAGGTAATAGTAAATGTTAGCAAAATATACATAAAATTATACATTTATATTATAAATTTAAACACTTTAGTGTAACGTTATAAGAAGTTCGTTTTCCATACTTTTAGAGGTACCACAACGACATAAAACTTGAAACCGATGTTTGGATTTTTTATAACAATAAAGGTATTGTTATTAACTAGATAATATAATATAAGCTATAGGGTAAATATTGAAACTGTCATCGAAGTTAACAAATAATGAGCTATTAGAATTTAACATAAATTTTTTTTAAAATGCTAATACTATAAGTACCCTACTTTTTTTTTTTTTTTTCTTCCACCTGATGTTATTTTTTTGGAGTGTTGTTGTCTACCTTTTTGAATTTTGTTTGCTAAATCGTGGATGTGCACGAGTATTTTTATGAATATATGAATAAACAAGTAAATTGTTAGGACACTATTATACAAATTAATATCTTAAAGAAAATAGTATCTGGAACTATAGTTGTTGATGGTGAAAATATACCCCACAATTTTCTGGCATAACTACGTTTCTTTTTATTTTACTGTTCAACGTAGTTTTTTTTTTTTTAAACAATTTCATGCCCTCTTCGAAACCAAAATTAGCATCATCAGTAACGTTGATATTGATTAAATTAAGCTTACGCCAAAATTTATCAATAAATGATAACGGTATCGCTTGGTTCGCACGTGACTGAATTGGAATTCCGTGGACACAAGGTAACCCACAACTATGACACAATTGGCAACCACAATCGTCCTCAATTATTTGATGTGTGTCAGGCCGGTCCAACTCTTGTCTGATGTTTTCCAACGCATGGTGTGAAACATTTCCACACAAACCTTTAAAACGGGGTATGTTGTATCGACGCATCAACTTAGTTCGGTTTATTTCTAAAATATCTTTTATCGTTGTGTGTTGCGATGCCACTATCTTTCTATTCGATTAAAAAATTTATCTAAGTTAGCATGTTGTGTGTGCGAGAATTTTTTCAACTTCGCGTGTTGGCTCTCAACTCTATTGTTAGTGTGCTTGTGAAAGTTTAAAACTTGATTAGTCCAAACGAGTACAATTTTTTCTTTGTATTTATCCAAACAGACTCAATTGAGATAATCGAGAACTTGTTTAGGACCTGGATGATATGTCGCTTTTGATTCAAGTTTTTCATAATTTCTCAAATATGTTGCCAATGTTAATGAATTAATTAAAGTATCCCAATCTCTTAAAAATGTATTCCACTCAGCATCTGTCTTATAACATCATCTGCAATTAGTAAATATACTTTGAGATTTGTGCCATCTACAAAGTATGTGAATGACCGATGGGAATACTTTTTCATATGCATTCATCAATACTATCTCTCTACCAAGTAACGATCACGCATGTGCTATCATATTTTTCGATTATGGCCTTAAGACAATTTAAAGCCCAGTTGTAATTGGATTCTTTTTCTTTATCCATGAACCCCAAACCAATGAAAAATGTCGTGTTTGTTGAATTAACATCAACAATCTTCAGAAAATGCATGTTATACCTATTAATAAAAGAAAAATAATTAGTATAACAAAACATAAAAGGCATGTTACGCCTATTAATAAATACAAAACAATTAAAAATAAAATATTCATACTTGTTAGTCTTGTAGGTGGAATCCGTTATCATAACCTGTGGAAATGCACACCAATGATGTTGGGTGAACAAAGAATAGATCTTCCAAGACATTCGTTGTATCATTTGCATGATGGTTAAATATATATCATTTTGAATGCAAAAATCCGAAGATAACTTGCATTTGACTTCGGTCTCCACGCTCATCCATTCGAAAAAATAAAATATTCGTACATGTTAGTCTTGTAGGTGGAATCCATCATCAGAACCTGTGGAAATGTACGCCATATCTCCAATGATGTTGGGTGAACAAAGAATAGATCTTTTAAGGCATTGATTGTATCATTTGCACGATAGTTAAATATATATCCTTTTAAATACAAAAATTTGAAGACAACTTGCATTTGACTTCGGTCTCCACGCTCATCTATTCGAAATTTTTAACACTCATTATAAACTCTTTTTACTATAGAAACATTTTCGATTTTTTTTTTCTCTTCAATACCGATAGAATATCGCGTGAGGGGATATTGTTTATCTTGATTTCTTCAACCATTTTTTTTATTCATTTGGGGTTAACCACCTTGCATATGGGTAGCCCTAGCAGGTTCATGATTATGTTCATTATTTTTATCCTTTAACCTCCAAACATCATTCGACTTATAGTAACAAACAAAAAATTCGAACGAACAATTTGTTTTTCTGGACCTGTATTTTTGGTGGATGTTTCCGAACTAGGTACACCACCCTGATTACACATAAAAATAATTTTTGAAACATATCCACTTCCTTTTTTTCTTTGTTCTTTTAAAAACAACCACATATCCTAGAGACTGTGCTGTTTCTTACACCAACTCTATTAAATTTTCATGATTGTTTAATACCTAACAAATATAAATATATATTTAGTCAGTTTAAAAAATTACACTAAAAATATAACATATAACAACTTATGAATAAACTAAAATTATCCATCAAAAATACATACAAAGTTAGTTTGAAAATTTGCCATAACAATGACAATCGACAATTTCGTGAATGTCGATATGAATTGAATAAAACGAATCGTTTATATAATGTATAAAGTTAAAGTTATATCAAATCAGTTTTTTGTTATTAAAGGAACAGATAAAGATTATTCAAACCAAATCAAAGCCTTTAGCTTTAAATCCATTATCTTGACACTTACTTGATTTATATGTTTTTTTTTTTTTTTTTTTTTTCACTTTTGTGTAGATAATATTAATGGACGAATAGTAAGTTTTAATAATAATAATAATAATAATAATAATAATTTTTAATTTTTTTAAATAATAAAAATAATATAATAAATAAAAGAAAAAAAAACAAAAACAATAAAGAAAGAAAAAAATAATAATATTAAATCAAAAAATAAATAGTTGATTAGATTGAATTTAAGTGGATTAAAAAGTAAAATGAAGCAACTTTTTAAAAATAAGAACCTTCTAAAAATTTAAAGTATATTTATCGAAGCTTTCAAAGCCATAGCCCATAGGTATAAATAAATAATGAGATGCTCAATTCCTGGATCCGCAAACCATATCTATCTAATCAGGCGCCAAACAAAAAGAAAGATGAGAAACAATCAAACAACAGACGAAGAGGAGTACGTCGATATCGGAAAATCCATGTTTATGCTGATGAATTGCCGTTCTTCACGCTGATTGACATCGGTCGGAGCTTTCAAAGGTAACGAAAAGAAAAAAAAAATTCTTTAGCTGCGTTTTGCTTGCATCTCCTCTCCTCTCCTCTCTAATCTGTTAATCTGTATCCAGTATTTCACTTCTAAATTTCTGATTTCTGTGGAGAGATATCAAGGGAGGAAGACGATTATCGACTGCCTGCCCTTTGGCTTCGAAATTCAAGCCTCAACTACGTTTTCCCCCAATTTCCCTTTGGCTTTGTCGATTTCTCACCCCTTTAGTTTTGGATACAATTGTCGATTGCTGTTTGCCTGCAATCGACAAATCCACAATCCGTAATATTCACTTTTGAATTTTAATTGTTTTGTGAATTATTATTTTTTGGTTTGTGATGAATTTGATGTTTTTTGTTATTATTATGTTCTGTTTTGTTTCTTTTTCAATTTTCAGATCATCAATCACTCTACAAGCATGGTATAGTTATAATTATGGCAGTATTTGTATTGTAAATTAGTTAAATAAACGCAATTTTATTGTCAACACAGGCTGCAGCTTAAGCTATGGATGAATCAATCATATCTGATTATCAAGTAGAGAATCTTATCAAATTTTGTCCTACTAAACAAGAAATGGAGCTTCTCATGGTGAAAACATAACTTCATACTTATATTTATTTATGTAGTGAAAATGTTGCAGTTTTCATTCATTTATTCATCTTCTTCATTGCAAGTTTTCAGAATTATAGAGGCGACAGGGAGATGCTGCACAAATGTGAACAGGTTGGTAGCCACATCATCTACTATTTCTATCTTCTTTCCATGCAACTTTAAATTCTCATAATTTTTTTACAATTTTATCTCACAGTTCTTCATGGAGCTCATGAAGGTGCCACGTGTTGGATCAAAATTACGAGGTTGTCTTTCTAAAATTCAATTTGACATCCAGGTATCTTCTTTTATGTTACAACTAATCACATATTTCTATTTATATATTATTATTATCATCTCATTTTGACATTTCTTTCAGCTGTCTGATGTTAAGAAGAGTTTAAACACTGTAAATTCTGCATGTCACAATTTTGAGGATACATTAAATCAAGGAACTACAAAATGTAAGAAAATCAGCCTTAATGGTTAATTCATATCGAGTTTTATACATATTTATTCAAAGAAAAACCTTCATTTTTACTTATTATTATTATTTTTTCAGTTTCTGCAGTTGGTTTCAAGTTAGAAAGTCTTTTGAAACCACCACCACCACCACCTCCACCATCTCCACCACTTTATGATGCATGCAGACCTCCACACTCACCTACTCCTCCAGGACCACCACCACCACCCCCACCCTCTCCACATCCTTCTTCGAAGCCGTCTCTACCTCCCCCACATCTGTTCCTAGGACCACCAGCTCCTCCACCACCACAACGGCGTCCACCACTTCCATGTAAAGGCTGTGCATCTGTACCACCACCACCACCACCACCATCTACACACCCTCCTGAAACGGCTGCAGCACCTCAAAGATCTATGTTAATGCCACTCCGTTGGGACAACCTATTCAGGGCTTCACAAGGTTCCTTGTGGGAAGAATTGCAATCACGTGGAGACCTCCGAAGGTAATATTACATTTTCACCCAAACTTTTAGATTATTTTACAGAAATGGTCCCTTTGTTCTACAAACACCATTCTCTCCTTACGTATGGCAGTTGTTATGGTTTTGATCCCTGACCAATGAACAAATGACATTTTTTTTTTACTTTTTGTAAACCCTAGGGACAAATTCTGTAATTTACTCCAAAGTTTTAGATATTCTTGTGATATGTTTTTGGTTTATTATGTTGTTATTGAATAGGAGTGCAGTAGAAATTGATATGTCAGAACTTGAGGCAATGTTTTCTCTCCCACCCATAAACCCAAAGAAAGATACTTTTAAAGCTGAAAAACTCCAATTGGTAATTAATCAATTAAGTAAATGACATTGTTTATAAATGCTCTTAATTTGTCTGATGAATAAGTTCAATAAAAGCCAATTTTATTTTTCAGCTACAGGCTGCAGCTTTAGCTATAGATGAATCAATCTTTGAAGCTGATCAAATACAAAATCTTATCAAATTTTGTCCTACTAAACAAGAAATGGAGCTTCTCAAGGTGAAAATATTACTTCATACTTCATACATATATTTATTTATTTATTTATGGGATGAAAAAAAGTTTCAGTTTTTGATACTTCCATTTTTGTATTGATCTTCTTCATTCAACTTTTCAGAATTATACAGGTGACAAGGATCTGCTGGAGAAATGTAATCAGGTTGGTTGCCACCTCATCGATTATTTCTATCGTTTTATACAACTTTAAATTCTCAATTTTTAATTTTTATTTATTTATTATTTTTTTTATCTCCTAGTTCTTGCTAAAGCTCATGAAGGTGCCACATGTGGGATCAAAATTACGAGTTTTTCGATTAAAAGTTCAATTTGACAACCAGGTATCTTCTTTTTATATTATGCCAATCACATTTTTCTTTTTATATATTTCTATTATTATTATTATTATTATTTATTATTATTATCTCATTTTGACATTTCTTTCAGCTTTCTGAGTTTAAGAAGAGTTTAAACACTGTAAATTCTGCATGTAATGAGATCAAGACTTCAGTAAAATTGAAGGAGATTGTGAAAAGAATTATGTATTTAGGGAATACATTAAATCAAGAAACTGCAGGAGGTAAAAAAAAAATCAACCTTTTTGGTTAATTCATATCGAGTGTTTTTATACATTTATTCAAAAAAAAAAAATTATACAAATTTCTGCAGTTGGTTTCAGGATAGACAGTCTTTTAAAACTCTCAGATACAATCTCTTCAAACAACAAAATCACTCTAATGCATTACATCTGCAAGGTACAACTCCCTTTTGCTATTTATACAGATTTAGTACAAGTCCCTTTTGCATAAAATTTTCAAGCTTTTTACAGGTTCTTGCCTCCAAATCACCTTCCCTTATAGATTTCCATTTGGATCTTGTTAGTCTTGAGTCTGCAAATAAGGTTTATTCACACTTTTCAACCTATTTTCACAAAATTTGATTTTTCTTTTTTTTAAAGAAATTGATAAAATGAAAAGCCTTTCTTTCTTTCAGATACAATTTAAGTCATTAACAGAAGAAATGAATGCCATTTGTAAGGAACTGGAAAGGTTTAAAAAGGAAACATCTGCATCTGCAAATGATGTCCCTGTCTTTGAAGTTTTTCATAAGGTAAGTATACAGATTACAGACATACTTTTTATGCAGTTTCTTTTCATTTTTATTATTTTTATAATTTTGTATATTGTAATAATAATACTATTGTTTCCAATTGTTAGAAAGTGAATGAGATCATCAGCTTTGCTGAATCAGAAGTGGCATCTGTAACAAATTTGTTCTATGATGTGGTAAGAATCAAGATTCAAGATTCAAGAACAACCCTTTTGATTAAAGGGCAGATTTGGTAATTTGTATTATATAATAGAGTTGAATTAATTATTTTTTGTGTTGCAGGGTGGAAATGCTAATGAAATGGCTTTATATATTAGTGAAGCATTTGGTGAAGACACTGCTTGTTCTTTTGAACAAGGTAAATCTACTTTTAAAAGTTTTTATTTAATAAAAAATATTTTTATTTTATTTTATTTTATTTTTTTTTTGTGGTGGTTGATGGTGATGAAAGAAGAAAGACAGAAGAACACATGCAATATAAACTTCAAGAACATTACGAGTAACTTCAAACAATATTCTATAACTATTAAACGGTTTTAGATTATATGTTGTACTTTGTAAAAAAAAAATATAAAATATCATTTTTTTGAAAGTATGTTACCTTTTATTTTTAAATGGTGTTTTATGGTTGTGCAGTTATAGAGAGGCTTGTGAAGTTTGTGAGGGTGTTTAGAGAAGCTCATGAAGAAAACTGTAAACAGGCTGAACTAGAAAAGATAAAAGCTCAAAAAGAGATTGAAATAGAGAAAGCAATGGGTTTTAACTTAACAAAAAAATCTTCTCTTTTTTGTTCTCCATAGCCACAAAGTCAAAGGGTGTTGACTGAATAACCACCTGAAAAGGGTATGCTAGTCAATGCACTGTAATTACATACATACATACATATGATGTTTCAGTGTTTTTAAGGTGGTTTGAAGAAGCTGATCTGACCTTAAATCCTAGTTTCACTTTACAATTTTAACAATGTATATTATAGTGTCATTATTAACCATGTATATATATAATAACGATGTCTACATGCAAGAAATAACCATGTTCAATCATTAGAATCTTGTATAGATTATATGTGGATATATTCCGAGTAGTGAATGTTTGTTAATATTTTATACAATAATTTTTTTTTATCAAATGTCTAATTTAAACTAAAGTTTCTAATAGGCCACTGATCTTATTTCAACTTTATGTGTTTTGATGGTTAGATTCATATGATCCACAAGTATTAATTTGTTTGCATATTTTAGTAATAATTTGGACAGTTTGTGCTGAATTGAAGAACACCCGTATTGCTCATATTTGATGTATTTTTTAGGGAAATTGATGTGGAGCATGATTTGGACTTACAGACAACTAGATTGGAAGATGGAGAGTAACCAGAGCTGAAAAACACATGTGGAAGTTGGAAGCTACTTGGAATGAAGATAAGAGGATTGAAACGCGAAAAAGATCCATTACATGACCATGATTCACTTTCGAGCATCCATGAGGGATTTTTGAAGCTTAAAAACAACAAAAGAAGATCATGACTCCATTACATGACGTGTTTTGCACCCGAAGCCTTAATAGGATTTCATTCCATGCGACTTTCAAGACGAATTTCTAGCGCTTTATGGCGATTTTCGAGTTCTAAGTACCATGATTTGATGTATTCCTGTTTTTGATATGTTTTTAGCCAGCTCTGACTTAAAATCTTAGACTTCCGTCTTCAATTAACTTTTTATCCAATTTTTTTAATGACACACACACACACACACACACACTCTACACTACTAAAATACTTATTTTGTCTCCAACGAGACTTGAACCATCAACCTTTAGCCAAAGGTACCTTTCCACCAACACTTGATACTGCTATGCTACCCTTAGGTACATATTAGTTTTGATTTGTGTTTTTGTGTATTAAATATCAGTTTTGTGTTAACCACGTGTTTGATTTTAATTCGGTTCATATTGGCCGCTTGAATTAGGTTTCAATGATTCTAGTTAATCAAGTTGGTAAAATCCATAATCGTTTTATTGACTGATAAAAAGTAACAAACAACAAATTGGTTATGTGATGAAATTTAATGTTGATGTAATTGGTCTTATATATTTCATGTTTTCGAGCTTGTGAGAAGTATAGAATATTGTTGAGAATTTTTACATAGATTCTAATACAATTTTTATGATTTATTTAAGAGTTCATCTAGTTAAGTTAGAAAAAATCAGGTCTAATTCAAAAAGCTTGTTTTGATTAGATAATCTGGTAAAAGAAAAATGACAGAGCTTGTTAGTAGTTTTAAGTAGCAGTTTAGACAGAACGCGCGTTTTAAATAACCAGGCCGACGACTTATTTTCATAATTATGAGAGTCATCGCAAAACTGTCTTAACAAATAAGCATTTAACAACAATCTATAATCCAATAAATCAACACGAAGTCATTAATATCTTCTACTCTAAACGAAAGTTAGAGTTTTTAGCCCATAACTACTGGAAACAAACAATAAAAAACAAAATTTACTTTGCAAAGCATGATGAAAAACAAAACAAACAAGTATTAAGAAGTAATGTTGCCTTGTAGATCTCTTCAAAACAAAGCAAACAAGTATTAAGAAGTAATGTTGCCTTGTAGATCTCTTCAAAACCAAGCTCTAACGAAATTATATCTTCCAAAGCCTCCTAGGACGTCTCTGTCTTAAAAAATCGAGAGTTGCTTGAAGCATAAGCTAGGGTTGAAAGCAGAAATGATACATATAGTTTCCAAAAATTGCCTCCCACGTCATGACAAATATGCTCCATGGCATGGCATTCATTAAAAATGTATATTCCCTAAGGCAACAACTTGATCGCGAATCTTCCTCTTGACATAGCATGGCAGCAAATGTCCACACCATGGGACTTCGAAATCCTTAGAATCTTGAATTCAGTTGACTTGATCCAATTTTCCTGCTTTGAACTTCACATTTTGCTTCCTTTTAATCTAGAGCATTTCTTCGTTGTCACAAAACCAATTTTAAACATATTAGCAACTTTTATCCTAAAATAAGCACAACTATAGCTAAAAATATTAAGATAATGCACAAAATATATAAATAAATATGGCAATATCAGACATGACGCGCCTTCAGAATGACAAATCGTGCTTTTAGAAGGACATGGCGCGCCTAAGATCATGTTTTTTCAAAACTCGCGTTTGATCTACTGGCTTGCATATAAGTAGTCCCTCATGTTATCAGTTAAAACCCCAGATGTTCCCAAACAGTCAAAGATGATCTTTAGGGGGATTTTTTTTTTCCATTTTCATCAATTTATGAAGATCCGAAGACTGTGTGTCAACCCTCTCATTTAGTTTAGTAAGATTAGTTGCTTAATCTTGATCTAATTTTAGCTATGTCTAGCTAGAACCCTAGATTTCCAGTTTTGCAAAAAGACTAGTACTTTTTATGTAATTAATCATGAGATTTGGTTTTTGATTTGTGATTCTATCTAGTTATTTCAGTTTTGCACTTAATGAATGTTTGATTTTTGATTCTTTTTAGACTAATCACCTAATTTAGGATTAAACCAATCTAGTTAATCAGTTTTTGAAATCTGTAACTAGTTTGATAAACAAGTAATAAGTAACAACTAACTAATCGGTTCTGTTGTAGCGTCCCATTTTCGAACAATTTTTTTTTCATTTTTATTAAGGTAAAATTCCTAATTTATTAATCCATTAATTAAGAAAGTCGTTTATTTCAAATCACACTTATTAAAATCATATTATTGTAGGAAACACTAAATCTTCAAAGTTGCTGATGAGTGTGTACAGTCCCACCTTTGCCTTCCCGCAATCACTGATGATACCTGAAGCAATAAACAACTGAGTAAGCATTAAGCTTAATGAGTTTCCCCCAAAACACTACATACCATACATTCATTTGCCATGGGCTATCCCCACGGTCTTATCCTTGAAATGCCATGGGCTACCCCCATGGTCCGACATCCAATTGCCCTAGGCTACCCCATGGTCTTTCCTTGAAATGTCATGGGCTACACCCATGGTCTAACATCCAAGTGCCATGGGCTACCCCCATGGTCTTTCCTTGAAATGCCATAGGCTACCCCCATAGTCTAACATCCAAGTGCCACGGGCTACCCTCGGGGTCTTTCATGCAAATATCACAAAGACAAATAGCATTCTACATAACAAAGTAATGGGCCAACATTGGTGCCTTTGACCCACATATACAGTGACAAAGATCACTACTGCCTACTAGTCCTCTCACATCATACAAACCTGCCACCAACTAACGTCTATATAATGCGCAACCCTAAGTAACCATAGATGAGATAACAACCCGAACAGGTGATCCTACTCTAGAGCCACAACCAAACGAGAAAAAGGCAAGAACCTAGATTGAGAGTTCTCAAGCTATCCTACATGACCCCATACAGTCCATAAGGGCACTCTATAGATGATAACCAACAAGCACAAATAACATACATTTCTACAAATATTTACAAGAAAGCAGCAAACTCGATACCCGGACACATATCTAAAAGATCACTACAACATAGCAACATACTCGATACCAGAACACAGATCTACCATATCACTATAGCATAGCAGCATACTAAAATCAACAATCCAAGAAATGCCTGGTCATATATACTCAGAGGTGAGATAGTCACCCGGATAAGTGATCCCGCTCTAGCACCACAACCAAACAAGGAATAGGTAAGAGAGCTTGGATTAATAGTCCTCAGTCTATCCTACATGACTATACATAGTCCCTAAGGTATCCCTCTACTAACAGATAACCAAAACTAGTGGGCCGACATTGGTGCCTTTGACCCACGAGTATAGTGAGACGAAAATCACCTTGATATATGTTTAGATAACCATTGAAGCAATGAAGGAATCTACCAGCTTCAATTCACTTCTAATCACCTACAGGAAGATACTTGAGTCAATACCTCATCACATGTCATAGTTACTTGCAACAGTGACCACCTCAGATGAAATGATGATTAGTGTTAAGTAAGAACATTTAACCCATTGAGGACTTAATCACCTAAGTATAGGACTGATTAAGGTTTGATTTAGTCATATTGGGTGTAATAATAATCCATTCAATAGCCCGAATACGTGCCCAATCATTGTCTAAAATAGAGCACCCCGATTCTAGAGGTTTTCACATAAAATGATAACTACGGTTAGTGTTCCACACTTAACCCCTTAAGGACTTAATCCATTAACTTCAATATTGCATTAAGTTAATTGTAGGGGCATTATTAAGTATTATTTAGAATTGAATTAACAACTTTAATGCAAGTCCCGACCAACTCCAAAAACTAGGGTTTCTTGACACTTGGGTTTTTCTAAACCCTAATTAGGGTTTCCAACTCCTAAATTTAGATGATTAGTTAATTAAATAAATATATATTTAAATTGGGCACCAACTACTGTCATCTCGGGTAGTGGTTGTCGGTGGCTGTCCGTGGCGGTAGTAAGGTGACAGCCACCACCTCACGGTGGTGGTGGTGGGTTTTCTTTGGTTTTTCCTGGCCAAGAATGTCCATACATGTCCTTATAAAAACATGCAAACCAACACAAAAACACCAATATACACACTCATAGCCACCCACACACGGTGGTTGATGGTGGCAGAAAAAGCAGAAATGGCAGCAACCACCATGGTTGGCTACCATGGTGGTTCTCTTTGACTTCCGGCTAGCTAAAACACACCCTCCATTAGACAACTTGCAACAACAACACACAACATGAAACATGATCACCCCATCACCAAATTACACACCCAATCTTAGTTTTCCTCGTGGCAGTAGGCGGTGACATATGACAACCAAAACAACAGAAATGATCATTTGAGTGGTGGCGACGATGACAGCTAGCAGCGGCCTGAATGGAAACGGAGGGAGAAAAACGATGTTTGCGGATGAGAGGAGGTGGTTGTGTTCGTAACTGATCACGTCAGTGACCATGACGCCCGACGTTAGTCCTCATCCTCAACAACGGAAACACGACGACGATGCTCGACCTGGTGGTTCGCGGCTTCGACAACAAAGATGGCGACAGCTAGAGGTGAGGGGGTGGTATAAGGGTGGCGGTTGAACGATATGTTTAGGGTTAGGGTTTCCATTGGGTGTTGCACTCTTAAAAATTGGGAGGGGAATGGAACCGGGTTCAAGTCCCGTGTTTAATAAAACTTGAATGCGCTTTTACGAGATTGGTCCCTGCCTCCACAATTTCTTTTCAATTTAAGTCCAATAATTACCCAAAAACCCTTGCTTTACGAATTTCTTTACATTTCAAGTCCTAATGTTACAACATAGAGCCCAAATTATGTAAATTATATCGTTTAACTCCTTATGCCTAACACAGATTAAATTACTACAGGTTTAAGACTAAAATAAAATAAAATATAAAATACACCTTGGGATTTTAGGGTTTATTATTTATTTATTTACTTATTTTATTTTATTTATTTAATTTAATTTAACTTAATTTAATTTAATTTATTTTAAACAAAATGTTACAATTCTCCCACACTTAAATCAAATTTAGTCCTCGAAATTAGCTCTCGCTTCTACTTTAAGATGCACATCCCTACAATAACTAAGATGAATGGAAATCCGCGAAATCAATCGGTTCTAAAGCTTCATGGACAAACACCGACATGCAACCCAACACAAAAGGGCATTACCACAATGAAACTAACTGA